CCCCCCCCCCATCTAAGTCCACACGAGTGAGAGATGATCGGAAGGAAGGAGGATAGAGTTCAGTTGAAATGGAACCAAGAGAAAATGTGGGGGAATGGATGGCCGACCGAGGATATTATGGGAAAAAGGTACTTAGGAATGGGGAGGTAAATTAGGGAGACCTTGATGAGGGGTCTGAAATAATTCTCATCGAGAGCGAGGGTTGACCTGACCAAGAGGACCGGTTGGTGCTCTTTTTATGAAAACAGGGATCGGGTGCTGAAAACAAGATGGCGCGATGGTTGCCTTCCCCGATCTATACCAGCGGCCCGGAAATGCCAGTAGATGTAAAGGATGGGGTATCGGTCGTCCTCCCGGAAGATGGGACGTGGACGGACCTTGAACCAGCATATCAAACGACAATGCTGGAAGGGGAGGACGCGTTTCTTTGGATAGAAACAGTATGGACTAATGTCAGCTTGACGAGGTTGTCGCCAAGTTTAATGGATTTGGAATTTTGAGGGACAGTGGAAGCCCGGGGGTAGGTCTACTTGTCGCAAGACGGGGAAAATGCTATGGTCATAGAATTGGCACTCAGGAATACGCCGGACGAGTTGTTTAGGAAGGCAGAAGCAGAGGTTGTGTGGGCTGCATGTTAGCGGAGGGAAATGGAAATGGAAAGGATAGACGTACGGGTGGAACTTGGGGATAGAGGAAGCATGAGGCGACCCGTAAGAATCATGCGATGTGTGCTGCCTCCCTTCCAAGTGGATGCGGTTTTCAGAACTCGGAGCAGGCTAATACTGATATGCCAGTCCATGACGAACCTCGGGCTATACCAATGCGCTAGGCAAGATTTTTTTCGGTTGTCGGTAGAGATGGGGCCGTTCGAGGGAAACTGGGCGGACGAGCTGACCGAGATACTAAACTGCCTTAGCATAGACAATATCTTTGTCCCTAGCTTTGTGCATTGGGGGATAGTCTACAGGAATGTGGCAATAGGCGAGACGTTTCTGGACAGGGTAAGGGAGTTGTTATACAGCGAGGAGGATGACTTCAGTGATGAAGACGAAGATGAAGAGATAGAGGACTGGGACTTTTAATAGGGGTGGGGTAAATTAACTTAGGAAGGACGGGTGGCCTGGTATTGTGCAGGAAAGGGAAAAATGACTAGAGAAGAAAGCATGATGGAATACACCTTCAAAGGTTGGGAACCACGACGACGCAGAGGAGGAATAAAAATGCCCATACCAACAGAAAACGAGTGGAGAGGGACCACGTGCGACTGGATGGGTTTTGAGGTCGCCCGAGACTTGTCATATGTATGGGTAGAACGGATTTGGAACCCGATAAGGGAAGAGGAAGGTTGGGATGATATAGCAGAAGGCAAGGTAGAGTCAGTCGGAACGATTGTCCTTTCCGAGGACGGGTGACACCTGTTTTGCACTATGTTAGCAATGGGACAGGACCCGATGTGGCTTCTAGGGGATGCAGAGGCCCGAACCCGAAAAGAAGGCAAGCGGTTCGCCAACGAAGGGTGGGACGAAGTTAGTAGCAGAGTGGTGATGGGAGGATGGAAGGAAATTAAGCGTCCAAGCCTACGGATAACGGCTTGGGTACCGGAGTTCATAGCCAAGTGGTTTGGGGGGTTTTAGCACATTGTAGAAGTACCCGACTCCATGAGGAAGGTGCATATAGAGTGTGTCTGGCTGACTGAGTAGTTCTATAGGATCTCATTGAAATATGGGCCCTTCTACGGAGATAAAGCCAAGGAAGTCATCATCGTCCTAAGGATGAGCAAGTATGACCGCCTAGAGGTAGAGGCGGAGTCTTGGGACGCCATAGTTAGGCGGGAGGCGGCGGCCGCGCCCTCCTACGTAGACGATGTCTTTAAACTATTTCAGGTACTGTGGTTCGACTAAATGGGGTGAGGGATCGAACACCGCGAAAAGGCCGGAGTACGGAGGGTGCTTGTGAGTTGAGGTGTAACATAGGAGAGGGACGTGTACATTAGGCCGTAGAAGGTGTGTGAGGGTCGAAACAAGGGGGAAGTAGCAACAACCGAAAAAGGGGCAGGAGTGGAATTGTACGTATACAGGGCAAGGATAGCGGCAAGAACCGGTGTACGATAAGTAGGGAGCGCTGAAAGACTAAATCACGAAAGGCATGGAATCTCGGTGGGTGCAACAATCGGACTGAGGAAGCAGGAAAGGAGACATTGCAAGATGGCCTGACGAATGACGTTCTGGGAGGATAGACCTCACGGGATCCTGCCACCAAGAGTATCAGAAGGCAGCGTCAAAATAAACCTACCGGCAAGAAATGCGGTAAGCAATCCAGTAATGGACTGGGTGGGGGTAGAGTTGGTGGAGGACACGGTGTACCTAGTAGTGGAGCTGGAATGGCGTGCGAGAGGAGAGTCCGGGGGCGTAGATTTGGACCTCTCGGGGCGTGTACATGCGACAGGATCCTTACACCTGTCGGAAGAAGGATGGCGGACCTTTGGGATTGCCTTGGCTTCCGGGGATGACCCCGTACGAATGTTCGAAGGAGCATGGCAAATAACTTGGCGGGAGGGGTTTGAGTTCGCAGTCCCAGAACGAGACGATGTGACGGCCGAAGTAACAGTTGCCGCGGCAGGGATCCTTGAGCTGCCCAATGAGGTCGTACGGACGAGTCTACCGCCCTTTCTGCTAAGACAAATGGGAGGCGTAGAGCGAGTGGAGCAGGCGGTAGCTGCCGTAATTAGGCTAAATTTCGACGGAACATTAGTATATCGGGAATACTACCGGGCCTTCCTAGAGATGGGGCCTTTTGAAGACGAACATAGGCATAAAGTACTTTGTATACTACAAGCTGCAGTAAATACCCGACCAGGAGTTCCGCAAGTAAGTGATGAGGCCATGTGGAGGGTCATCAGGCGGGAAGTAGGCCGGGGCTCGACCTACATAGACGACCTTTACCGGTTGTACGAGCAGCCAGAGGAGGTTGCGGCTCCTAGGGATATGGAAGGATAGTTGGACAAGAAAGGGAGAAAGAGGATATAAAAGGTAAGGGGGCGGTAGGTGGACATTTACTGAGGGTTGGCTGTTACGCTTTCTATGTGAACTATGCAGGAAATCACCAGGGCAACAATGGCAGCAAGACGTGTGCGAATGGAACGCCCGCTCCGTGTGCAGATGGAACGCCAACCCCGGTACCCCGGACCGCCCTCGAATAACGGCGAACGATGGGAAGTATCCCTCCCATCGAGTTCCAACTATCGGGGATTCGATGTAGAATGGCGGGCCGTAACTGTGGGGAGAGACACCGCCTCCATGTTAGTAGAATGTCGGTGGGTGGGGATGAGAATCAACCGGGGACCTGGGGATGACTTATTGTCCAGTTTGGAAGTTACCGGGACCATGTATCTGCCCGAGATCGACTGGCACTCGTTAGGGGTGGGAATAGTGCAAGGCCACGAACAGGCTCCCGTCTTTCGGAGGGCGGCCCGGGCGTTGACACGGGTAGGACAACCAGTCAGAGGTAGAAGAAACGTGGACTTACTTACTCGGGTGGAAATGGGAGGTTGGAGGGAATTCAGGGCACCGACCACACCGCTGAGGTGCCGAGTTCCCCGGTTTATGATAGACCTCGTCTTCGGGAGCCTCGCGCGGGCGCGGGAGCTGGCAGACTCGGCGATTGTCTGGGCAGATCACTTCCCCTCCCCTACCATTGGGATGTTCTACGATATCGTTGTGGAGCACGGGTCGTTCTGGGGAAACAGGGCCCACGAGTTACTGGAAGTCATCCACATCCTGATGTTTAGGGCACCACAGCTAGACTGGGCAGGATGCGAACGCATAATCGAAAGGGAAATCGAGATAGGAGAGAGTTATTTAGCAGGAGCGGCGGAACTATTCGAGGAACCTACCGAACCGGAAGGGCCACGAGGGCGAGAACGGGACTAGCTCCCGCAGGCGGGTCAGTAGGGCAGGTCGAGTATAGTCCGCTACTTACGTGAGTTCGCCGATGGAAATAAGAAAGGGGCCTCGGACCCGGATGATTAAAACCTGCTAGAAAACGAAGAAGGGGGTAGAGTCCTAATGGTTGCCGTGACCATGAAGGTCAGAAAGGAAAATACTGCTCGGGAGGACTTTCCCTAGCGAGATGGTTAACCCGGACTCCCACGCACCGACCCGACGGGACAAGGGTGCTACAAACGAGCTTGCGATAAAGGAAGCCAAGTCACGCCCATAGATCGGCAGGGCAGCAGGGCTAGTTATGGCTCCTCCTTAGGGAAAGGCAATCGGGAAACGGAGGTAGGAAAAAGGCTATAAAGATAAGCCAACGGAGTCGGGAGCCTAGGGAATCTAAATGCTTCGCGTTGCGTGTGTCCTGGGAATTCTTTGGCCTATGCAGAACTAGGCAAAATGGCAACGGAGGAGGAGACAGATAATCGTAAGAGTGAAGGGGCCAGGCTTAGGCGGCAGTGCCATACAAAGCGAAGAGGGGCAGAAGGACAGAGAATCGATAAATCCGGATGGTACCAAAGGAAACCGAAAGGAAATCTCCTTAGGGGAAAGCTCGGGGAAAGCCGGGGGAAGCAGGCAAGGGACTCAGGAAACCAAGGAAGGCAGAAATAAGGATAGGACAAGCCCCCGAAACTCGGAAGGAGCCGTGTCTAAGAAAGTAAGGGTCACGGATGCGAGGCGCAAACTAGCCGAGATAGAAAAAAGGACCGCGGAGTACAAGGCAAGATTGATTGAGGAAATGATGACTGGGAACGAAGAAGGCCCTCTGCAGGAGGAGCCCCGGGACGAACGGAAAACCAGCCGAGGTGGGACTGGACATTGGAACAAAGGTAGTGACCGTGATGGAACGCCGAGCAAGAGAAGGAAAGAGAGAGAGAACTCTCCTGGGATGGAAGCGGAAAAGGCTACGACCCCGCCAGCCATAGATAGTAGGGCTAGCCCCCTGCCGACCACGCGAGCAGTAACACGAGGGTGCGAAGGACTCTGTAGCCTTAGGGAAAGAGTGTTGGGATGGTTTGACCCAGAAGACGAAAACCAGGGAGGGACAGAAGGCCGGCAAGGAAGGTCCTGATAACAGTATGGCAGGCGAGGCCAGCAGCTCCGAGGGCGGCCTTGGGAAGATAGTGTCGTCCCTCGCGCGAGCACTAAACAAAAATCAAGGCTACCTAGTGGATGCTAAGAAAACGTTGACGTTTGATGGGGCGAACATCACGGAATTCCTGATAGATTACGAGAATCTGGTTGCGCTGTTGAAATGGACTGAAGAGGAGAAGATGGACCACCTGGGGCAGCATGTGTCTTTGACTCTAAGGCGGGACATAATGGCCATTGTGGCCTCGAGCCGGTCTTGGAAAGAAACCCGGGATGTGATGATGAGAAAGGATCTGGCAGCAGAGAAGATGGCAACGGAGGCCGATTTAGCGGCAGTCCAGAGGAAGAATTTCGCAACGTACAATGACTTCCTACGACAGTTTACTTTGGTAGCACTAAGAATCCCCGGGGTTACGGACCGAATAATGAGTAAGTACTTCCTCAGACAGTTCTTTGAGTTCGACAAGGACAAGATCCTGTCGGCTTGCCAACAAACGAGCAAATTTGTAAACACTAGGGATGTTGATTTCAGTACGGTAACGGATCTGGCCGAGAAGACGGTAGTGACTGAGACATTGGCCTTGCTTAAGGAAGGTGAGGTCATAGATCTGATCGGTAGAACAGGCGACAAGGTAAAGAAGGGGATTGAAAGTCTACATGAGTGGGTGCACGGGGTCGACAACAAAATTGAAAGAATGGAGGGCGCACTATTGGTTATGCAGGCGCACGTATCCCGACCCGCCCTCCCTCCCAGGAAGCTGTGGTTCCGCTAGGTGTAGCCAACCGGGGATTCGGACGGAGAGATCCTGCTATCGAGCAATGCAAGTACTGTACCGCGATGGGACATTATGTGCGCGCATGTCCAAAGCTCAACCATGATATCCTAAGAATAAGATGCACCAGGTCATTAAAGGGAGAGATAATCGGACCACAGAGAGAGGGTGAATTTGAACTCACCAGGGGGAATGCGACGAGCCGTTATCATGCTCAATGGGTTAGAGATAGCGGCCGTAGAAGCTGAGCCGGTGGTCGATATCATTTGGGATCAACTGCGGGGCCGCGGGCCGCAGATCAACTTTATTTTGGAAAACGACGGACGTGATAGGGTGAACACAACCACTCGACTAGGAACGGCTGGGAGAAGGATTAACTGTGATGCCGTTATGGAGGAGGTCGCCGGAAGCTCAGAACCCCAGGCAGAACCTGGGGCCGAGGAACCAGAGAAAGTCTATGGGACGCCTAGGGAAGAGGAGCCTGCGGACAAGGTTACCGCCGCTAAGAAGAAGTTTCGATATCAAATTCCGATCTTAACCTTGCCTGAGATCGACGACATCATTAGCAAGTTACGAGGAACCATGGTGTCGGTGTCTTTTCAGACCATGCTGCAGGCTAGCCCTAGGTTGCTCAAAGGGCTTAGACAACTGTTGACTCGGCGGCGAGTAGAAATAGGCGACAACCCCGAATTACCAGAAGGGGAGAGGGAGGAGGAAGCTCCGCAAGAAGTGGCTAACCTTCAGAGGAGTCACGGGGACTTGGAGGATCTCGAGAAAGCTTTCGCATACATTCGTTTGAGCTTGCCCGACCGAGAGGGCGGCGAAGTCATGAGGTCACCACCCGGGACAAAGCTTAGCTTTCATGCATTACCCGTAGGGAAGCTGAAAATCCAGATCGGGACTGAGGATACCGACGCGTTAGTAGATGGGGGAGCAGAAATCACTCTCATAAGGAGAGATTTCGCAATGATCACGGGATGTACGGTAAACAAGGAAGTAACAGGGAGCATCCAAGGAGCTGGCGGGGAAATCCCCTTCGCTGGGTACGTCACGAAGTGTGCTGTAAAGGCAGGAGTTGGGGAATCGATCTGGTCTTTTCAGCGGATGACCGTAATGGAGGAAATGGACCACGACATAATCCTCGGGAGACCGTGGTGCGCGAACGTGGAGATGATAGGCATGCACTTGCATGATGGCTCATACATGGTAGAGATAGAGGACCCAGTGACCGGCCGGGGAGAGCTCCTCCGACTCCTTGGAACGGGAGGAGACCCCCCGAAGGGGAAATTGGCAACATGGTCGCCGTCGTTCGAGGATAGCACGCGAAAAGGGGCTTTCGCACGGATGGAGGGTATGAGAGAGGGTAGAAATCATGATTGAGGAAGCATTCAACAAGAAGGAGTAGATCAAGATGGGCCTGCCCCAGAAGAAGAGGAGGCAGGAGCACGAAGTTCTAGGTGTTATGGTGGCAGAAAATGAGTTAGAGGTCGAACTTGGTGCTAGCCTACCCTTGCGGAAAGAAGTACGTGTAGACGTGCCAAAAATCACACTCGAGATCCCCGATTTGTTACAACTCATCAAGGCCCTTAGATACCACAAGGTAGGAGTAGACTGAGCAGCCTTGGCCAAGTTCGAAGGGGAAGTGCAAAAGGGATATTGCTTGAATGGGAAACTAGTTAGTATCCAACCACGAGTCGTAGAAGCAACGAGGGCAATTCCAACCGTTCATTTTTTAGGAGAAAGATCCCGGAAGGAAGTATTCGAAAGTACAAGCCGGTAGGGAAGAAGGCGAAGTCGGTCTCGATCCTGCTAGAGACATCAAAGGAAGAGGCTATGGAGAAGGAGGAAGAGGTCCTTCGAGTGATCCGAGAAAGAAGGGCGACGGAGGGACATCGGATACCGGATGAGGTAGCTGACACAATAGACGGGTTCTTAACGGAAGAAGAAACCCGCTTCATCAGAAGGACCTGCCAGGAGTTTCACCTGGCATTTGCCTTTAGTGATCACCAAAAGGGACGACTGGATGCGTAGTTGATCCCTCCGGTCAGAATCCACACGGTAGAACATGAGTGCTGGAATGACAAGGGGTCGTCCTATGAATTTGGGATAGCAGGGGAAGTGACAAACCTCCTCCGAGCTAAGATGGACTCCTTCGTTGCGGAGCCTACGGCGTCGCCATACGCAAACCGGTAGTTCGTCTTTCGGAAACCTAACAAGACACTAAGGTGGATTCAGGATCTGCAGAAGTTGAATGCAGTAACCATCCGGGATGCTGGCTCGCTACCTCAGGCTGACTTATTAGCAGAATCGCACGCCGGTCGGAGCATTTACTCCCTGATAGATTTGTACTCATGGTACGACCAGCTTCCGTTGGATGTTCGGGACAGGCCGTACACCGCTATGCACACCCCCGTAGGTCAGCTACAGATGCAAGTGACCCCTATGGGATTCACAAACGCGGTGGCCGAAGCACAACGCACAATGCTCGCCGTGGCCAGGGACATGTTCCCAGAAAAATGTGAGCCTTACATCGATGACAATCCGATCAAAGGCGCGCAGGAGAAGAACGAGACGGAAGTCCAGCCAGGGATCCGAAGTTTTGTGTGGGACCACCTGCAGGACATCAAGGACTTACTCCGCGGGTTCCTAGTATACAACATTACGGCTAGTGGACCAAAGAGTATCCTAGCAGTGCCGGAGGTAACTATACTAGGATTTCGTTGCGGTGCTTATGGCAGGAAGCCAGATCCGGCAAAGACCGACAAGATATCACAGTGGCCGACACCACTGCGCACGACGACGGAGGTAAGGGCATTCCTAGGCGTAGTCGGCTTTTGGAGGATCTTCATTAAGAACTTTGCCAAGATTGCTGAGCCCATTCGGGCTATGATCAGGGAAGAAGGAACCATGGATTGGACGGAGGAGCGAGAATGAGTTGTCCAAAAGCTCAAGGACATATTGACATCTGAGACAGTCGTCCTGTCCGCACCTTGTTTTAGTGACGAAGTAGGACGACCCTTCATCCTGGAGACGGATGGAGGACCTTTGGCGGTAGGAGGTGTGTTGATTCAAAGGGATGAAGGAGGAAAAGAGAGGCCAATTAGGTTCGAGAGTATAACCTTGAACGCCGCAGAGCGGCAGTACTCACAATTCAAGAAGGAGGTCCTAGCCATCTTGCATTGTCTTAAGACCTTTCAGGCCTACCTGTTTGGGAGGCGGTTCATCCTTAGGATCGATCCGACGAACCTGGCAGGGGCCTTAAAGAATTACAGGCTTATAGATCCGACGGTGGGGAGATGGGTAGGATTTATCTTGCAGTTCGATTACAAAATCGAACGGATTGTGGGAATTAGGAACAAGGTCGATGGATTGAGCCGGGTCTGCATCACTCCCGAAGGGATGGAGAATGCGGAGCCCATAGACGCATTCCTCGAATACAAAGGAGGAACCCTTGCGGTGGATAACGAAATGATGAGCGAAGAGTGCGCATTGGGAGAACTATTGATCCAAACTTTGGAGAAGGGGGCACCTGCCGTAGTAGCAGAACTTAGAGAAGGACCAGTCTCCACTCGGGGACGCAGAGAAGAAACGGACTCATGAGGAGCGATAGTAGGACCGAAAGAGGAACTAATAGCAATGGCGGTCGAGGGAGGCCGGGAAGCAGTGATAAACTAAGTGGAATCTTGGGAAAGGAAAGAGTTGCAATGGGTAGTAAACCAGATGCAGGAAGGAAAGGATGGGGGCCATGAAGGGGAGGAGTTTTTTTATGTCCAATCATATGAAGGGCTCTTTCGGGAGATCGGGTTGTTGCTGGTAGGAAACAAACAACCTACAGAAGTCTGTATTAAAGCGAGAGAAGAAGCCGAAAGGTACGTCCTAAGGGGCGGGCATTTGTTTCGAAGGGAGGAAGGTGCTATGCCCAGAAGGATTGTGTGCGGAAGATCTAGGCAAGTAGACGTTATCCAGACAATGCACGATGGGTTAGCTGGAGGTCATCGGTCGTCCAAAGGAACGCTTGCAAAGATAACGCCACTCTATTATTTGCATGGAGGCCAGGCATGGCAGGCATGGTCGCCATATACTGCCAGACTTGCCTTATTTGCCAAGAACGAAGCTTGGTGCGGGTCTTCAAGCCTCTTAGACCAACGCGGGTGCTAGGACCAGGATATCTGGTCCACCTCGACCTTGCGGTTATTGCCTGTATCAACGGGCGGATACAGGTATATCCTGGATGCGCGGGACAACTTGAGTGGGTTCGTGGAGGCGGTCGCTCTCAAGAAAAAGGCAGGGAGGAGTGTGGCGGACTGGATAGAAGACTTCTACTTGAGGCATCCGTTCATCAAAAGGTTTATAGCAGACAATGAGACGGAGTTTGTGAACCAAGAAGTATTGGGGATGCTTAAGAGACTCTGCGTACCGATCAAACTCATCGAGCCGTATCACCCTGAGGCAAATGCACCGGTAGAAAGAGGGCACTGAACCTTGAAGAACACGATTGCGAAGCTCGCAGCGGACCGTCTGGGGAACTGGCCTAGGTATCTTAAGCAGGCTGTCTTTGTGGATAATATGACCCCTAAAAGGACAACAGGATGTATCCCAGCGGAACTTTGGTACGGAAGAGAGATTGACTTTCCTGTGGAAGCCTTGATACCTACCTGGAATAGGTTAGATGATGATCCGCAAATAACCACTGAAGAGTTAATCGAGGCAAGATGCCAACAGATCCTTAAGAATGAGGAGGTCATGGAATATATCGCCAACCGGGTACTAGACAGCAGAATGAGGGACAAAGCAAGGTGGGACCAGGTTAAGAATGTCAGAAAGGAGCCACTTCAAGTGGGAGAGATGGTATTACTAAGGAACTCGACACTAGAAAGTACTTGGTCGGGACAACTGGAAAGAAGGTTCAAAGGCCCCTACCGGGTCGCCAAGCGGGTGAGACTGAACACCTTCGAACTGGAAGATTTGGATGGAACTGGATTGAAAGGGCCTTCCCGGGGCAACGATTGGTCAGGTTTCTAAGCCGGGACCCGGTGGAATAATGGTTTCAGGAGGCCGAAGATAAGGAAACTGAGGGGCCACAAGCTAAGGACTAACCACAGCCTCGCCCACACTATGGTTTGTCTCTGACCATGTCTATGGGACTGTCATTTTTGGGGGACTGGGGCAATGGCTTGGACTGACTGAGATTGAAAGGCAGCATGACTTGGGGTTTTGCGATATCTGGCTTGTGTGACGACGGGAAGGGTTGTTGGGGCATTGTACCATAGTTTTTTACGGGAAAAAAATGGGATCTTCACAAACGACGCATTACATAAGGGAGGGAAATGTATAAAAGGGGCATGATGCGAAGGATACAGGGAGCATTTTTGGGGAAAGGGAGTTGTCTACCGGACTGGGGGGAATGTGTGTATGCCGGACATTGCGGGTGTTGTTTTGTTATACAGGACTTAGGAGAAAAACGTGATAAGACAAAAATGGAATTCGGCAACGAGAACGATAGCGGGGCAATCAACAGGCCTACCGGAGGGGAAGGAGCAGGGCCAAGCCAAGGGAGGAGGACAACGAAGAGAAAGTTGTACATAGGGCTCATGGGCGGGCCAATGGTAGGCAGGGGTGGAAGGAAATGCTTGTGTAGGAAACCCTCACCCCTCCGCAAGGGAGAAGGCATAGAAATCTCATCTGACAGTGAGGGCGAGAAGAGAAAAGCAAATGTGAAAGAAGAGGGCAAGGCACAGATGGGAGGAAAGGCTCAAGCCTCTGACGAGGAAGGAGCCAACAGGGGCGAATGACGTGAGACGTGGCATGGGGAAAGCAAGAGGGGACAGGACATGTACGAGGAGCGTGAGGATGGGGAACAGAGAAGAGAAAGCCCGCTTGAAGGACGAAGCGGCCACGACAGTTGTGAGGGGTATGGGACAAGGATGGAGATCCCCTACACATACGATCCAAAGAACCTAACGGGAGGATATAGCCCCATATGGACGGAGGACGAGAGGCACGAGGAGGAAGATGTGCAAGAAATCATAGAAATCAGTAGCGGGGATGAGAGGGATGAAATTTCGAGGCCTAGGGAAGAAAGGCGGCCTCCGGTGCACCAGCCGCGCGAAGAAGCCTTCAGGTGGGAGGATGAGTTTGGGCCAACGCCCAGTCATTGGTTTGAGCAATGGCTCGGCGTAGTCAAGCATGAGTGGATTATCAAGACCCGGGAACTCGCAAGGGCAGGGGTGGAAGCCACACCGCTGGATTTTTTTAACGAGGCAGAATTACGGAAAATTGCAAGGATAAGGAGAGAAATCGAGACCTTCGGCCTGGGGGTTAGAAAGCCGGCTGAGGAACAGGGTGGGCCAGGAAACTAGCAAGTTGAGGCACAGGACAACAATAGGCATTAAATGTTGATTGAGTATTGGGCAAGAATCACGTTTTTCAATTGCAAAACATTGAAGCAGAGTGTGTATAGTATGAGTAAGCTTGCAAAAGATGAGTGATCGAAGGGTCAGCTAAGACTGTGTCGTGATAAGTTAGAAGATAGCGTATTAAGGCTACTTTTGGATGAGCTACCTTCGAAAGTGGGTACACAAGACAAGGACATGGGGCATGGGATGAGACCAGTTGGGAAGGTTGTATTGTGCAATTTGGATGGAATGAGGATTGTGTTTTTCGAGGAAAGAGATTTTGAGTGCGGATTGACGAGCAAAGCAAGGCATTGAATGTTGGTCGAGTACAAGAGAGGTTAGGGAACCTATGGGTTAAGGGGCGTAAATAACACTCCTTCCCTAGGAGCCTAATCCAACTGAGTCATGAATGAATCGAAATCTGAGTGATCAGAAAGAGGGAAAATGGAAGGGGCGCCCCTGTCTTTTGCTATGGCTGAACGGCCGGGTGGGCTAGTGCTGCTTGGGGCCGCGAGCTCCAACTCAAGTACTAGACGGTAAGTCGGATGTATGCATGGATAGTACATCACTGTGGGAAATGGAAGAAAGAGAACCGCACGCTTAAGACTGAGATGAGATGACCACCTTCTAACCTCCAAGACAGAACTGGGATCCGTAACCTCGAGGCCCACCCCCTCGGGCACTAACATTGAGAATGGAAAGGAATGACCCTAACCAGGCTGTTCGACTTGAGAATGGAAAGGAATG